GCCAAGAAGGGACATGGAGATGGGGAAGGGTTTGGAGCAGCTGAGGGCACTTAGAGTGTCCAGATGGAGCAAAGAGCTCAGGGACCTGCAGTTCCTCCCGAGGGGCAGCTCCTGGGCCAGGGACAGCACCAGGGCACGGCTGGAGCTGGGCCAGGGCAGGGCAGGCTGGAGCTCAGGGAAAGGTTCTTCCCCCAGAGGTGCTGGCACTGCCCAGGCTGCCCAGGGAATGGGCACGGCCCCGAGGCTGCCAGAGCCCCAGGGATGCCCAGGAGGGGTTGCTGGGGGTCTGGGCAGGGCCAGGGTTGGATCCATGGTCTCTGTAGATCCTTCCAGCTGAGGATGTTCCACGATTTGATGATTCTGTGAAAGAACAGCAGGATAAGATTTACCAGTTGCAAATGTGGTCACTGTGTAGGCAGCTCCTTTTCTCCAAGGGGATTGACCCAAAACATCTGATGGATCAAGGAAAGGCACACAAAAATCCCAGGAATCAGAGAATCCCAGAATCCTGGGGTAGTTTGGGCTGGAAGGGATCTTAAAGCCCATCCAGAGCCACCTCCTGCCATGGGCAGGGTCATCTTCCACTCTCCCAGGTTGCTCCAAGCCCATCCAAAATCGCTGTAAAATACTTCCATTGGCAGGAATGTTCCACAAAATCCCCTTTTCTGCTGGAGCTTTTGTTGGGTGGAAAAAGCCACAGGCAGCCAGGGAATTTAATTTGGTCATCCCTGGAGATGACCAAACTCCAGATGTTGTTGGCTCAGTCAAGACCATCTCATTTATCTGTGCTGCCAGTGCTGAGATCCTCAGCTCAATCATCAGCTCAATCTTACCCTGCTCCAGAGAACTGCTGCTCATTTCTCCTCTGCCCTGACCAAAATCCAGCTTGGAGCAGCGCTGAGATCTTTGCATGAGCTGGGTCTCAGCCTGGGCTGGGGGCACATCCATAAATCAGTTTGGAGAAGCCAAAGCAGAATAACAGGGGTATTTAAAAGTGTCTTTTCTCAGTATCAAGCCCAACCCTGATGGGGCTTGGGAGCAGCCTGGGCCAGGCTGGGCTCAGTTTGTGTTGGCTGAGCCCTGTGGCATTTCAGAAACCCAAGCCCACGTCCTGTCTCGAGCCCTGGCCTGGCTGGGAACTGACAATAAATCCATGCATTTTATCAGGTTTGGGGGCTCGGAGGCTCTCACAGGAACTGGAATACTGGAATGCTGAGCTCTGGAGAGAAAGCTCGGCCCTGGGCAGGAGATGGCCCGGCTCAGTGAGACCAGGTGTGAACCCACACTGAAACTGCGCCCAGCTCTGCCAGACACGTCCTGGCCATATTTTAGCTACTGCAGCTCTATTATCAAAGCCAGTTAAAGCAAGAGGCCCAGGGGCTGATTTACCCTGCTGCAGCCACTCACCAGCCAGGAGCATCCCCCATTATGAACAGGAATTTAATTAGAGGGGGAATCTGAACCACTGAAAGAGGTGGAGGAGAGGTTTTAACAGGATTTAGTAGGGTCACATTGGGGAGCCCTCCTCTGGTTTGGAAACCAAGAGAATTGCCAACATTTCACGTTTGGGCAGCGCCAGTTAATGGGGTTTTGGTGGGAGGAGCCTGGCTGGATGTCCCCGAGCTGTCCCACACCACCCCAGGCTCTGATTATCGCTGGCTGGGGGTCTGTGTACAAGTCACAGATGGGATGGGACTGCTGAGGAACACGTCTCGAGCTGTTTACTTTTTAGCATCAGTCTCATTACAGGGTTATGACAATGGGAAGATGCCAGCAGCTCACATCCCAGGCAGCAGACCAAGAACTTAATGTTACAACTTACTTTATAAACTCTTTGACCAGTCACACAGAGCAAAAGTATATTGACAGTAGTTTTATACAACCACTATAACCACACGTACCTTTGGTTAAAACAATGCTCGCTTATTTTGAACACAATACTTGCTTGTAAACCTTAAGGTACAATGCACTGAGCACCGTCATTAAGTTTAAAAATTCCTAATATCTCACCAGATACACTTTTCTGCAGCTTAGGGAGTTATTCTACCCAAATGTTGATACACAGACCATTGTTCTATTTGTCCTTTCTTTCTACTTGTATTATTTTTCTGCTGATGAATCTTATAGCTACTGCTTAGCTCTAATCACCATCCTGCCGTCTCTGAGGCCTGCCTTTTGCAACGTGCCCAAAACCCTCTGATTTTAAGGATTCCCACAATACCGTCTCTTGGTTCAACTAAAAAGAAACTTCCATAACTTTGTTGTTTATTATCTACTTTTTAATTCATAGCTTTTCTATAATATATCTGCTTATTACTTGTTTAAAGCATCATTTTTGCTTGTATTAAGCATAGTTATATTACAATACAGCAATGTTAATGTTGTGAAGGTCTAGTCAATTTAAAGTGCATAAGTCATAATTCATAGCAATTATAAGTCATTGTTTTAAAAAGTCTCATTGTTTTTAAGGTCTTAATTTAAAACCTTCTTCTGTCTCTATACCTTCATCTACTATCTCAGTAAGATTTTGAGAACTCTCTGTGAATTTATTTCTGTCTCTAAAACTTACCTTTTACAACATACCCAAAACCTTCTAATTTAAAAAACACTGTTGAGGAATGTTTAGGGCAGGCTGTGCTTTTCCAAAGGGAATCTCCACCCTGGCAGCCCATCCCCAGGCCCCCTCCAGGCCTGGCTTGGAGCAGCCGAGGAGGGAAATGAGAACAGCTCCAGCACCCAGCCTGGTCCTTGCTGGGACCCGAGATGTGTGGAGGGCTCAGTAATCAATTAATAATCCAAAGATCACATGCAATCTTTCCACAGAATAAAGCAGGAGACTGGGATGGGCCTTGCTGCAACAATCTGGGCTCTCCTGCAAAGTTTTCTGGTTGAATTTTGAGTTGCTCTCTCACTCTTTGGGTGCAGTTAAACAACTGGCAGACATAGGGGCAGAAAACTGATTTTCTGCTGGGAGGACTGGACAGGTTTGAGCATTTTGGGGTGATTTCTGAGCATGTTTAAAAGCACTGGAGCCACTGAGATGTCATTTGGGGAACCCTTCCAGACTCCAGGTCTGCTGAGGAGTCTCCTGGGGCCCAGAACAAGGTGATGGAGCACAGAAAAATGGATTTATCCCCCCTTAATGAGAAAATCACCTGGAAAATACACAACCAACATCATCCTCTTCATCCCCATTACAGAAATGCACATCGAGTGCAGAGAGCAGCGGCAGCAGCACATTTCTTATTCATCCTCTGCAAGCATTCCACTGAAGTTTGCTGTTAAATATTCCATTGAAGCCTGGTTTGTGGTGGTTCAGAGTGGAGCAGCCCCCGGGCTGTGGTCCAAGCTCTGGATGAGGCTGGAATGGAGACTTTATTTAAGACGGAGAAAACCCCACTTTTTTCCCACTGGGATGTTTGAAAAGAGCAGGAAATGATCCCCAGAGGGGAGCAGGTGTGGAATTCCAGGGACATAGCAGCACCATCAGCAGCATCTGCAGGGCCTGAGCTGAGCAGAGTCAGGCCACGGATCCTTATCCCTGCTGATAAGGCAGAGAGGCAGGTTTTGAGAGGAAATCAAAACAGAAATATCAGCTTTTCCTTTGCCAGCAGCACAATCATGAGAAAGATCAGGCCAAGGTCAAAGCACCATTTTTTGCTCACTAATATTTTTTAAAAATCAAATTATTTCTTCCTTCACTCAGCAATCAGATACCCTCAGAAACCAGACTCACAGTTTGTAAGCCATTAACATTTTTATTTTAATTGGAACTCGTTTTCCAAGTGATATAAAAGCACAGAAAAATGCATGCAGTCAGGTATGAAAAGGCAGAGCTGGATATTCTGGGTGGCTGTCAATCACCACAAGCAGACAGGGTGAGGGCTGCAATTCCCAGGGATTTTTGGCTGCTCCCTTTGCTGTAGGAATTCTGCAGCTTGAGCTGCAGGGCTGGGTTATCCCAGAGAAAATTCCTTCCCTGTGCATCCCTGTCATAGTTTGACATGGGATTTCCATGTCCCATGGAGCATTTCCATTTTCCATTTTCACCAGAGGGACTGATAAGAGACTGATAAGAGACTGATAAGGGACTGAGTGAGCTGAACTACAGCCCACAGAGAGACTTTCTGGGTTTTCATCCTTTTTTGGAGTGGCAAGAGGTTTTATTGTTTAATATTGTTCATTTTTTTGTGCTGATGAATGCTTTGCCTATTAAATAAGCAGTTTTTTCCACTTTTCTCCAAGAAAATGTTTTTCTTTAGCCAGTTAGGGGAGGAACCACTTGAATTTGGTTTTCTAGAAGAAACCCTTTTAGAAGCTTTTCTCCCAGGATTGCCCTACACCAGGACAATCCCTTAATCCCACTTCCTAAAGGTCAGACTGAGCCAGAGGAGATCCACCATCCTCGTGGCACAGAGCAAAGCTGGCAGGGCTCAGGCCAGCCCTGCACCCACGGCAGCCAAATCCCAGATTCCAGGGACGGCAACCAGAGCCAGGGTCAGGAACCTGGGGTGCCAGGGTCAGGAAATGAAGGTGCCAGGGTCAGGAATTTGGGGTGCCAGGGTCAGGAATTTGGGGTGCCAGGGTCAGGAAATGAAGGTGCCAGGGTCAGGAACTTGGGATGCCAGGGTCAGGAACTTGGGATGCCAGGGTCAGGAACCTGGGGTGCCAGGGTCAGGACTTTGGGGTGCCAGGGTCAGGAAATGGAGGTGCCAGGGTCAGGAACTTGGGGTGCCAGGGTCAGGAACCTGGGGTGCCAGGGTCAGGAAATGAAGGTGCCAGGGTCAGGAAATGGAGGTGCCAGGGTCA